TTATCAGCTCACACATCTGATACCCACATATGATCTCTTTCAAAACAAAAAAATAATCTGGAAACAAAGCCACATTAAAAGGAAGTTGATGTACACTGATCTCCTAACAAGCTGTTGTGCTGATGCATGCATATGTGTGTGTGTGTTTGCCCTGGAAAAATGCAATGCACGGGCATGCCCACGTGCCAGAGAGGCATCAAGAGTGTGTTCGTGTGTGGGTCAACACTGGGTGAGCCTGTCACCTCCCCTTCCCCACTTCCCGGAGTTCAGACTGAATGTGGCTCTCTGTATTACTTGCGGTAAGCCATCGCTTAAATCCACAGCATCACTAGGCTGTCTGTTTAGAGACGGGCCTAGCAGCTAATGCATACAGTGTAAATAAAAGACCCACTGCACACAGAAATACACGTATGGTTTCATAAAAGCACACAAACACTGCACACATACATATCAGGATAAAAATCTAGATATAGCTAAGCAGTGTATAAGAACAGCAATACAATTACATGTGACATTTGGTCATGTATAATCCTGTGAATTATAAAAGCTTCCACCAACATATAGTAATTTACATTAAACTAACCTAAATATTCAGTTAAAGTAACAAGCAGACTCATAAAGGCTCAAATATGAGCCAGAATTAAGAGTAAAATATATATTTTAAAATAGATGTATAAATCATATTCAAATGTAATGATTTATATGTATATTGTAATTGTATGAAATGTATTCATTCTTCTCCCTCTTCTAATGAAGATATTTATTTTAAAATGTCTTTAAATATGTTAATATTATAAAATCTTATAAAATAACACAAATGACATATAATATAAAATGCAAATCATTATGAGAATCACACATTTTAAAATATCTGTGATTAATATGTATTTAAATAAAAAGTCATGAGGCACATTGTTGATATTTTCTGGAAATGAGATCACACAAGGTCAAATCAATGAACAGAGCAAAAACAGTGGTTTCATGACCTTCTATAAACATCAGCCAAAATGGCTGCATCTATGTTACCAGGAAATTAAATGCAATCTTACCACTACTGGTCTGTTGCCTAGGAAGTTGAGGTCAGTATTTTCACCAAAGAGGTAGCCTTCAGGATGAGTTGAATCAAACTTCTCTCCTCCCATAATGAAATGGCTAGCAAAATAACTCCCTGAATGACAATGAACAGATCAAATGTTATAGATATGGAACCATTCAAAACGAACTTGTTTTAAGTAAAAAAAATATTATTTCATTATTTCAACTGGCTACATTGTATTACACCAACACCAATGCATTTTATCATCAGATCAGGCAGAAATAGGCCAGTTCTTTTATGTAAAAGATACATATTTTAATTTTTAGCAACAGGCTGACTATTAAATGGTGTATGAAATATATAGATGCAAAAACCTCCATTCCCCCAAAGGATGTTTGGGCACAAGACAAGTAAAAGGTTTCAAAATGAAAATGAAGACAGATATGGCAGACTGGAGAACAAATAGATTAAAGAAATACAAGCTCAAGGGCAGACAGAGGATAGCAACCGCCATGGGAAGATGCCAGGGTAGATAGATGAACAAGCTTGAAACTGGAGCAGGAGGTAGCAAGAATCAGGCACAAGTCCCAAGCTGCACATAATAAGAGTATCTGGTGACTTGTGGTTAACACACTGACATCTTCTCATCTGCATGTCTTCTCAAATTTCTTTTGAGATTTGTAAAACAATCATTCTAAAACTAACGTGATGAGTGTTGCATTTTCTAAACATACACGAATACTGTTATCTAAAAATGAACATGTAGTAAATTAATATATTAATCTAGCATAATCCATGTAAACCGCATAGTCACAATAAATTCCATTTACATGCAGTGGACACACTTATTTCAGATCAGTGCAAAATCATCAAATACATTTCGGTAGACTGTAGACACAGCACCACTGGAATGATGCCCCATATCAATATAAAGACAAGCATCTATGGGCCTACTCTGCCTTTCAGAGGCAGACTTGCTGACCAAGAAACAGCGGGTGGTGGCTCAGGCCCTCTGGAGTTCAAATGAACACAAGGACCCTCTCAATTTCAATTACAAGAAGAAGCAAGACAAATATTTAACTAAATTGTACAAGCCAATTTTACAGTAAATGCCAATTTTTACACAATTTCTCCCCAAAATTATAAAGAGTATACAGTCTGAACAAGCTTGTGTTTATATGGGCCAGTTTATTTCTTTAGATAGACTTTTGTTAATATAATATTATTATTAAATATTAATTAATAATAATATTATATAATATAAAAGGAACAAGAACAATATTTTATTATAATAAAAATACGAAATATTATAATATAATAATATATCATTTTCTTACCGGATTTGGGTGGGTATCTGTAAACAGAATTGGATGGTATATCGACCTCCTCCACTCCTGCATTCTGACGGCTTGTCAAAGCTCCCATTTCAAATAGCTAAAAACTGAAATAACACTGAATGATTGCAATCCTACTGCTGCTGCGACTTCTTTAGTCCGAACATCTCCTTCTTCACGCAAAAGCCCGTTTTTTACTCTTCGCTTTTATATTTTTGGCCATGCACAGGATTAGTTGGTGCTCTTAATGCCCTGTAAGCTCCGCACAGAGTCCCTCGTTGTTTTGTCTGCAGACACAAGCTGCTCTTTGCGTCCTGCAGACTGAAGCCCTATTATAAGGCTGTCCCTGCCTCCGTGGTCGGCATCATTGGCTAAGTTGCAAAACGCAGTGACGTGCTCTCTATATGTCACAGTTTCTCGGTATGTTTATCATCATCATCATCATCATCCCTGTATCCTCTGTTCTCCGAGCGCTTGAGCGATGGGATGCAGAAACAGAATAAGAGGGTAGAGCTGCAGTGGACTTTATTTTTTTTTTAAATGATCAGTAACTGTAACTAATTACAATTAAATTGACTTTGTAATTAAATACCGTAATTTAGTTAGGCCTACATGTAACCAATTTCTATAGTCTTTGATGTAACTAGTTACTTCCTATAGCAATAATGAACCATATTTCACTAAATATAACGGTTATAACCGTACATAAGTTTCCTTTTATGTATATATGAAACATTCCTATTATCATTATCACTTCCACCCACCTTTTCTGTTATTTTCTGTCAACAGAAAGACGTCTGCGACAGTAGCATATGCACGTGTTACCTGTTACTTTTCTTTGCGCTGTTAAGGATAGACCAATCACAGTCGTTTGCGGGTAGATTATAAGGATTTTTAAAAATCGTTTTACAGAGATTGGTTTGACGGATTTTAATGTATATGTCATATATCAATCATTGTGATTAATACATTTAAAATGTTATAGGTTAAGTATAGAAAGGTCTTCAGTAAAAAAAAGCATTCTGAGATCTGAATGTAGCTCAGTGGGAGTATTAAGCTCTCTGAGCCGCCAGGCGCCCCCTGCTGGAAGTATACATTATTTCTCAATTTAAAAAAAAATCATTTCAGCTAGTGAGATTTGTGGCTCAATGCTCAGTGCTGTTACTGTCCTCAGAAGCGCTGTTGGCCACCCCTGACGTCAGGCTTCAATCCAGACTTGAGGTTTTGCGCAGTAGCCTACAAACACATCCTGCCTCGCCAAACGTGGCCTTCCCCGAGTTTTTGGAAGTGATTCACTGCAGTGCAGTAATGGAACCTCAACTGGTGTTTATTTAGTGGCCCTTGTGTCAGCTCTGTTTCAATTGAAATTGAAATGTATCATTATTATTTATATTATTAGCAATTGTATAAAATACATTTCACAGACAACTTACAGCAGCAGTTAGTTCAGGAGCAACCTGTGTATTGCTTCAAGAGAGCAACTGTGCTATTTGATTTTTTTTAGTTTTATAGTTATATAGTTTCTATGAATTATTTATGTTATCATTTGATAGTTTATACCAGTTATCACTTAATCAATTAAACCATTTTATTTATTTATTTAGGCTATTTATTTATAACTTATGTTCTGTGCTCTTAATCTTATGATTGTGGGGTTTCATGGAATTTTGTTTTGTTTTGTGTGTGTGTGTGTGTGTGTGTGTGTGTGTGTGTGTGTACAATATCACAATTTCATTTTGATGTCATTTGGAAGCAGCAACACTTGTGCTGATTAGACAAAGCTTAATCAATTAAACCATTTTATTTATTTATTTAGGCTATTTATTTATAACTTATGTTCTGTGCTCTTAATCTTATGATTGTGGGGTTTCATGGAATTTTGTTTTGTTTTGTGTGTGTGTGTGTGTGTGTGTGTGTGTGTGTGTGTGTGTGTTCACAATATCACAATTTCATTGTGATGTCATTTGGAAGCAGCAACACTTGTGCTGATTAGACAAAGTTTTAAACATACACAACTAAAATTATTCAATAAACCCCGCTCATTTGTAGATGCCACAGATCCGCAAATATGATCATTTTCACATGAGGGACCCCCATTCTAAAATTTAAAAGGCATAGTTTCTTGTATAGGCCTAAACACTCAATTTACTGTGAAAAATTATATTTTGAACTATGTCTAAAATATTAAGTTCCTATTACATCATTATAGTACTGGTTTATTATATATTTACTCATTTATTTACTTATTTATTTTAATCTGGGTTCATTTGAACAGGTTAAGGTTAAGTTTTATTTTTGATTTTATTAGTTTTATAGGCTACACAGTTTTAGGCTAACTTGTCCATGGACCTCACTACTTGTTTAGGAAACCACCGTTTGTTACTCTGGGCTGCTGACTTAAATTTGGGAAATTTGAATTGAATGAGATAAATGCACTACATACCAATTGTGTATGGCGGCGTCAAATAAATGATCTTGTTTATTAGGCTACATTTTGTACAAACTCGTGCTAAATCTGCAGGTCTTTGTTCCCAGTCAAGAGAAGATTGAGATCAGATCACCTGTAGTGTCACTGAAATACCAGAAGAGGCAGTATGTGCGCTCCTTGCAAAAAAAAAAAAGCCAAACTCCACCAAACCGCGGACATCCGGTTACCGCCATTTCAGAGAGTGATCTGCTCTCGGCGTGTTTCTTTGGACTCTCCCGAATGGTTAGCTATTTTTCCTGAAAATCTCGCTAGTAGCTCTTTTATTTTTCGCATAACGTACTGCAGTAGGGTTAGTGATTCAAGATGAGTTACGGAAGACCTCCGCCCGACGTCGAGGGCATGACATCTTTAAAAGTCGACAATCTGACGTACCGCACGTCTCCTGAAACGCTTCGGCGGGTTTTCGAAAAGTACGGCCGGGTCGGGGACGTCTACATCCCGAGAGACCGGTACACAAAAGAGAGCCGCGGGTTCGCTTTCGTGCGTTTTCATGATAAGCGGGACGCGGAAGATGCAATGGACGCCATGGACGGCGCGCTGCTGGACGGGCGCGAACTGCGCGTGCAGATGGCGCGATACGGGCGCCCGCCAGATTCGCATTACAGCCGCCGCGGAGGCCCGCCGAGGAGGTACGGGGGACATGGACGGAGAAGCCGAAGGTAAGGCCCACATACACGGTCTTTTGTTTTAATATTTCCGTTTTAAACCACTAAGTTACCGTTCATGTTCAAAGATCACATCTGCGGCCCTTAAATTTGAGGCCTTAGGCCTCAGGCCTCAACACCATGTGTTATAACGTTAATCCTTGTTTTGCTCATAAAGGTGATTTGTTTTATCACCGTAAGCAGCGAAATTCATTGAGTTCAATTAATTACATTGAAATAGTTTTTTAGAGTATTAGTATCGTTCCGTCGTTTTTGTGGCGCAGTACCAAACAATTGCTCAACTTTGTGATAAGTGATCAGTTGGTTCTTTTGAGTCGGTTCTTTTGAATCTTGAATCTTTTGGTTGTAAGTTAGCAGTTTGAAAACAAAACCCATTCCGAGCGGTTTTGTTACAGCACATTTGTTCTTTAATATAACAGACATTTTTAATAAGTTGAGACTACGTTGAGAACTTGACTTTTAATTGGCTTTAAACGCCTTGAATCTAATTATTAGGGAAAAACGATTCTTGTGGTTTGAATGCGGTAACTTGTGGTAATTAACGTTATACTTGAATGACTGGTTTTGGTTAAGACAATAAACCTTGGTCATTTTTGTAAGTGATGTACATGCAAATAGGCACGTTCTTGTGTATTCACAAATGAAATGTGTACAAGTTACTCGCCTTTTAATTCCAATGTTTTAATGGTGTTTTGTAATACTGTAACACCAGCTGCTGTTTTTTTCACTGTGCAAACAATCCTCATACTAATTTGTATTTTTTTTTAGCCGTAGTCCTCGGCGCAGGAGGCACAGCAGGTCTAGGTCCAGGAGCAAGAGCCGTTCCCGTAGCAGGTCCCGCAACAGCCGATCCAGGTCCTACTCCCGTTCCCGATCTAGGTCCCGTTCCCGCTCCAAAACCCGCACACCACGCAGAAGCAAGTCCAAATCGGCTTCCAGGTCCCGTTCAAGGTCTAAGTCCAAGTCTCGCTCCAGGAGCCATACTCCTAGATCCAACAAAGGATCCAAATCACGATCCAGATCAAGAAGCAGACCCAAGTCTCCAGAGGATACTGGAGCCACTGCTGAATCCTGAAATGTAGGTGAGCATAATGCTTTGTATTTAACTATTTGTAATTTTCTTGCAACTGGAGGAATTTGTCATCCAAGAATTGTAAGAACAAATGCATTTTTTTGTAATTAAAAAAAAAAGTTAATATCCCCAGTAGTCCTGAACTTTTGATTTAAGCAGACCAACTAATCACCCCAATATAACTCCTGCTTGAAGTGGGGTAAATTGAAGGCATGCATAGCTCACTGATCTCTTAAAATGACTGCTTAAAATTTTTAGTAGTGCCCTCTACTTTTCTCTTTCTTCAAGTCCTTCAAGACATCTGCAGATGTGGTAGATGCATCATCTTAAAGGAGGTTTCAGGTTTTACCCAAATTTAGTTTGGAGCTGTTATTCGCAGCATTTGTCTGGTATCTCCGTTTCTGCATGACTTAAGGGTTTATTTTTAATTCACATCCTAAACCTCACAATGGATATTTGATTTGGAGCTGTCGTGGGTATGATACCGTAAGTATATTTGTTTTGAAACGTGTACCAGCCAAAATCCATTGATTTCATCTAAATGTGGAATTTTTTCCTCCAAGCTGCTGATTCCTGTTTGCAAAAGAGGAGTTTGGGGCAGTTTGAGAGCAGTTAGTGTGTGATCCGACCATTGGCTGCCTGCTGCTGATTGGCGGTTGCTATGGAGCAGGTCGGTCTCAAAAAAAATCTTGCCGTGTAAAACCGTGACATCATAAAGATTGCTAACCGAGCAGGTGTTGTTATGGTTTAAATGGAACATTTCACAACATGATTCTAATATTCTCTCTTGTGTATTTTCTATGCACTAGGCGCAGTTGCGTAGCAGTTGAGTTTTGCTGGTTAGCTGTTAAGGTGGCGTGTTGCGGTGCAGAGTGCTTGGCTGTTTCCAGTATTCTCCTGATTGCTCCCGTGTAACGCCTTGATTTGATTCTTAACATTTTGGCTGCAGCATATTTTCTTTTTGCAGAAAGATCCTGTGCAAGTCCTTTTGTGAATACCTATAAGGCAGATATCTGAGCTTATTTCACATCTCCGGAAGTTCTATAATTTGTGACGTGCTCACTTAGTCGTAATTTCCATGTGAATGATGATAATAAAGGTTTTCTTTCTCCGAGTATGGCTGATTTGGTGTATACCTATTTTTTTTTCATTAGTTTGTCAATGTCTCTATGTTTGGTGTAAAGAAGCAAATTAAATCTTCCTTAACTGGAAATAAATTGCACGATCTCCTTCATGGATTCACACTCAGTGGCTCTTGGTGAAGTTTTATTCCAGATTAAATTAGTAATTTAGACCTCCTAACATTTTTACTTTGATATGTGTACAAACATAGACATCTTATTGACTTTGAAAATGTTACTATAGTCTTAAAACACAAGTCAAAAAGTAATGAGCTTTTAAATAAGAATTAGTTTTGTATTTTAATAGAACTTGATTTGACACTAGAACACTATACAGGGCTTCAGGAGTCTCTGTATAGTTCTCATGAACAATGATTTTCTCCACCTCAAGAAACTGTTTTGCCGGATCATCTTTCTCCAGGTTCACACCACCCATCTCCAACCTTACCTCCTCGTTCTCATCACTGCCATGATCATGCAAAAATAGTTTATCAAACTGATATTTGTTGCATATGAATTTTCAAAGGCAAAACTACTGTAAAATGCAATTCTCAAGTACAAAATCATCAGTACTATTCAAGGAATATAATTGAATAGAAATAGTAACTTAAAGACACCATAAAATCAAAGTGAGAGTTTTGTGATTAAACGTTACATAGACCTAATGCAACACCACCACCTTGAGAAGCCCAACTTGCATGTGGAGGGCGGCAGTAAGGACCCAGCTAGAGTCAATAAGGGTTCCTCCACAGTTGTGGCTGAAGGATGCATTAGAGCCCATGGGATGCTTCAGAGCATGGCTTGACGTTACAGCAGTCCCACCGGAGAGTGCCCTTGTCTTTCACAAAGCACCAGGGTTCCCGGTCTCCATCTGGATTTCTTGAGGGACAAAGATAATTCTTAAAGTGGAAGTGAAGCAGTCAGTTAAGAACATTATTTAGTAAAGTGATTTCCACTTTGATAAAAAAAAAAATTAACAAACATGATTAATGTAACCATTTTAAAGAAAAAAGGATGTTTTGTTATAGCTTTTGGAGCAAGGGCTCCGCCATCTTGCAGTACCACCTTCGCTCCGATGGCCAGTGAAGTAATAGAAGCATTTCTTTCATAAAATGGGGCCTCTTGAGTTCTGACACAATCACCATGACCACACTTTCTTACACACATTCCTCTCTGGAAGATCCCAACATAAAAACTCAAGAATCATACTCTCTTACTGATAATAATAATAATTATTATTATTATTTTTATGAACAGCTTATTAAGATCTCACCGTCTTGACACTTTTTGCCAATGTAAGCTCTTTACAGACGCATTTGAAGCCGCCACTCTCAAGAACCTTGCATACTCCGTTGTTCTGGCATGGATTTGGATCACACACTTCTACAGAAATATTAAACATGATCAGCGTACATATGTTTATGAGCACCAAACTGAATGCCTATAATACACTTGCACTTCTTGCCTGGTTCATCAAAAAAGGAAAAAATCCAATCAATAGTTTCATTAATTTCAGCTGAAGATATTTTCTTTGTGGTGTCATTAACAGCATAGTTGTATATTTCTGTCTAGGGGGCAAGAGAGAAATAATAATGTGAGCATGCAACAATCTTGTAAACATAATGGAAACTAGATAATATAAGATTCTCACCATCAACTAAATTGAAAATATCATCCAATAAACCCTGGAACAGTTGACAGTTTCAATCTGATAGTGTAATATCGGCCAATTAAACATAAGTTGAACAGAACTATTAACGACAAATTTTACATGGTTACATACCGGTGCTGCTTGGACTGTCAAAGTGAGGCCAGAAAGGCCCATCAGAAGCAGAGTCACTGGAAACATGAATAAAATAGGAATAAAAAATGCACAATCCACCACCACAAAAGTGATGTCTATAGTGTTGGCAGTAGATATGTTGACCTGTATGTGGATAACCCCTGGACCCTTTTCTCTGCTTATTATCTAGCAATCATTACCTAACAGCATTGATTTTATGTGTTTTGGCCAGTAAGCCAGACTACAGATATGCATTAAAATCTATCTATCTATCTATCAATAAACCCCATAATTTAACAGGTGTGTTAATTTACCTGAATATTATTTAAAGTAGTATGACAAGATGTCCCCGATGTCCCCCCCACATTTTATCTGCTGTTTTTTTGAGTATGCTGTGGAACAAATTGAAAATGCCGTAAAAAGGAAATTCACAGTTCATGACTTGTTTAGCCAATAATTATTATTATCAGTGCAACAATTCAATAAATGATCATTAATAGTAATTATTTAACATTTCATTCTTACACATGGCTTTATGATGTGAATTCTGTAATCTTTGGTTCTAAAAAAAGAAAACATCCTGCAACGATATTTAGATGCTGTATTTGCACATAGATGCACAGTGTATTGATGAATTCTTTGTCTTTCTACTATTTAGCAAAGCGTTTATGAAAATGAGCACCTCCCAAATACCCTGTGAATTACAGATTGATTTAAATTCATCAGGTACCCAGGAGAGTTTACTCTTGATAAGACTGACGTAAAATGTTTTATACTGTTTTACATTTATTGTAATCTCAAAATATACTGTCTATAATTAGCTTTTATTTTTGTGCGTAAACTGAAAAAATACCCAGATTAATTCTGAAAAATTGTAAAGTACGTTGGCTGCTTCAACATTTTATATATATTTATGTAATGTTTAATATTAAGGTTTTAGTTATGTATTTATTTTTCTTTCATCTTTCATATATTTAATTTTCTTTCAAACAGTTTCAATCCAATAATGTTGAAAGGAAATGTTAATTCAACAATAAAAACATATTTTGTACTTTTATATGGGTGTAACGGATCTGTATTCTCAAAAGCATAATTCAAAAGCAAAACAACTAAATTTGAAATAAGTGAACAAGTCGACACTGTGTTCAAATCAGTATTGCCAAACAATTCCAAATTGGTGCAGTCATACCCTATAGAATTATTGGATGTAACACAGATTTCAGCAGATTTCTTTTTTATTTAAAAGCAGAGAAATGGATCAGTTGACACTGGAGTGCAGAAGTTCATTCTCAGTATATACAGCATGAGAGATAAATATTCAGAGTTCATCTGTTGGTGCATCACATCAAATGATCTCACAGGTGCCTTGAACTCACAACTGCTCAAAACATGTCAGTATTAACTTGTAAATGCATTCAAATACAAGTGGCAAACTTAATGCTATCAAAAAGTAAAAACGTAAAAAAACACTACCTTAAAAAAAAGTGTCTCTTGCATTTCATTCATATTTTCAGGAATATGATATGGTCACCAGTGGTAATTATGTTATCATCTGAGAAACATAATGGTGAATAAATCCAAACACTTCATATATATTTTGTTCGCATTCACTGAAACCCAGCAGAATCTTTTATTTTCCTATGATTGTCAGATGAAGGGAGGCAACATCTCAAAACACTCTACACACTCACTGGCACACAAACAAACACTCATTCACTCTCTTGCACTCTTATTTATGGGCATCACTATCATGCTAGTCCTGGAATACCAATCCCATTAGTGTGAATCGCACATGCACTCCTACACATCAAAAGAGATCTATGCTCTCGACGGAGCAATTAAGTGCTAACACTATAAATGGAGTATCCAAGAACAGCAGAACATGTCAAATAATTGAATCCAAAACCAAACCGCCTCGCAGTCCAAACTAGTTGATTATTTCAAATTCCACCTGCACCATCCTCTATGACCACTAGGAGTCAGGAGTTACATTCATTGACTGTAGTCAATATGGAGGGTATTATTTTATTCCATCAGTAGCAATGACCATTTCACCACATCAGTGCATCTCCTCTATAGTTAAGGCACAATAACGTCCTTTTGTAGTGTTCTCCCTGTAATGAGTTTGCCTGTAGTGGTCTGGGGTAGTAGGGGATTGTTCTTGTTCAAATGTGCAACTCATGTGTACTCAGATTTGCGGATGTAGTTGGATGGGACGTAACCCCTCCTTCCTCCTGCCTCCCCCAGCCACCACTCCTGGTTGCCATTCATGTCCTGGAACTCAAGGATTCGGACTCGCTGATTGGCTGAAATGCTGAGCTCATTTGCACACCGTGCACTGAAGGAGTAGAGAGCGTAATATATCTGAAAGAAAATATAAAGTAGAAAAAAAATTTATAAGAATAATCATGGACGAGAAGTAAAACCTGTTCAGTTATTTTATTATATATTAATATTATAATATATAATTGTATGATGATGATGATAATTATTATTAATTTATAAACAAAATTGTTGATGAACATAGTGGTGTATCAATACCAGGGTAGCTCCGTGAAATCAAAACAGAAACCTAATAATATGAAGAACCACAGATGTCAAATAATGTGGTTTAATTATTTTGTTACACATAAATTATATTTATTACAAATCATATTTATTTTTAAAATTATTCAAAAGCATTATTTAAAATGATTTAATTTCCAAATTGCTATACAGTTATATTATAAATTTTGTACACAATTTTTTAAAGATCAAATGGTGTAATAACTTCTAACAATAACTAATAAGGAGAAGATTCTCAACATGACAAGACAAAACCGAACCTATTAATACGAGTAAATCAAAGATACTGAATGATACAGTTTTGTTTTATTAGACGTTATATTTATTACAAATTATATTTCATTTTGTAATTGCATTTTAATTATTTAAAATAATTAATTATTATTATTTTTTTTTTAAATTTATGCAATGTGTACACAAAATTGTTAATTAACATGTCATATTCTCATTTGTTTCACTATAGAATTTGTCACATTTGGGAAGTAAAATGGGTTGTGAAGTATGCAATCACTGAATTCTGGAGTGATTTAGTTCACCACATACCTGGTGTCCATCTATCTCAGGTTCAGGTTCAGGCTCTGGATCTATATACTCCTCAGGACTGTACTGTGGCCTTCTCTGCTGTATCGAATGGTCTCCATTTTGTCTCTGCTGTGAGCTGTTACCATCACGTGAGTCATGGTACCTCGAAGATGGTTCATACCTGGAGTTCTTACTGGAGGGACAAGAATCTGTCTCAGAGAAGTCTGAAGGGTCTCTGTGATTGGTAGGAGTGTTTTTATCAGGGTCTAAAGAGTCTCTGTGATCGGTGGAATTTCGGTAGGAGGGCTCTGAGTGTTCCCTGTTATTTCGACAGGCTGTCTCAGGCAGTTCTTGATTACTTGGAGAGCTTCTGAAGGTGGGGTCGAGGGAATCCCTCTGACTGTTGGTTGAAGAAGCCTCTCTGTTTTTTCTCGGAGTGGTCCCTTGATTTGTGCGAGTGTGTGGAGGCATCGCCGTTGTGAAGCTGACAGTCGATGTCTCCTGGTTGAAAGTCAGAGTGCTGTTACTATTCTGCCGTGAGAACATGGGAGAGGAGCCACCGTAACCTGACTCATTTGATGATTGGCTCTCAATGGAAACATCCGACTGACTCCTGCGTGGATTGTAGGGCTTTAAGAAGGAGCTATACACAAAGCCTTTTGTAACTAGAGGGAAAACAAACAAAAAAAGAGTGTGCTTGAACCAAATGTATTTTAGGAAATGCTGACACATGTATCACACACAGATAATGCGATTCAAACCTCCATGGTCTATTAGCCAGCGGTTCTGGCTGCCCATGGGATCTTGCTGCTTGATGACACCCACTATGTCTCCCTCCAGTACGGACACGTCCAAGTCCTGTGCTGCGTTAAAATTTCTTTCAGCTTGGTAGAGTTTCTCTGGGTCATATCTTGCCAGAAGCCCCGCTCGGTGCTCATCTGTCTGTAGCACATAGTTTGGCTGCAAAATCAGACAGAAATGAGGAACAGAAAAAGAGGAAAATGAATAATGGACAGAAATCTGTCTTTTATCACCATGGTTGACTGTGCTGCTGAAAAACATCAGTTTAAACCAGCCTACAGTGACTTGATAGTCTGGAGTTCTGACTGACTAGAATAATAATGACTAGAACGAATATATAGGCCTATACGAGAAATATATTTTTACTTAAATAATAAATTAAGAAAATAAAAGAAAAACTGTGCAAAAAGTAGTCTAGTATGCAGAGTTTCGGTTCATTTTTGTGCTGCGCAAAAGGAAACCAGACGGCAGAAAGCGGCATCCTATTTTTCTTTAGGCTTAAGTTACTTTACAAAAGCACAAATTATTTGTTTTATGTACACAAATAAAGGCAAACCTTTTACAATTCCCATTATC